CATCTCCAAGAATGAGAGAGCAAGCTGCAGGGTCAGACATGGACCGGCTCAAGATGGAGAGGCTCAAAAGCAGTTGACAAAGACTGCCCACAGAGGAAGCTCCCCTGAAGGACGCGGGGCTGGCTGGCCGTGCTCACCTTTGCTTCAATCTCTAACTCTCTCTGGAGGGGTCCCGAGGCATGCAGGGTCCTGCTCTCTGTGACTGGTCAGTAACTACCCAGTCTGTACTTCTGCACTTAGGCAGGCCATCTGTCAACTCCTCAAACCGGAAAGAACACACCCAATGCCCGACCAGGGGGGGATGCCTCTCTGTAACATGCTAGAATGCCACAGTGCTATTAATAATGACAAGTGTGACTCGCTGGACAGGACTTGGAAATGCTCATGTGAAAGAATGCTTACGCAAAAAACAGAATGACTCCACCCTGCAAAGCCTGCCACATATACTGTCCATGTTAGGAGGCACCAGAGGCACGTGTGTGGAGCACTCTCACTCCCAGGGAATGCTGTCTCCTGCAGAGTGACCAGGCCCCACAGAGGAACATAAAGAAATAGCCCACCTGCTGAATACTCTGCACTGCAGAGTTGGTCTCATCGCCCACGTTGCCTGTGAATTCAGGCTCTTTCTCTGCAAACTCACTGAAGGCAGCATCCTCAGGCACCGGAGGCCCTGCCTCCTCCTCAGGCTTCTGTTTCCTCTTGTGACTTCGCTTGGCTGCTTTCACATGCTTCCCTTCAGCCAGATCTTCCTGCTCGAGGGTCAGCTCAGGCTGCAGGGAAATTAGTTTTAGCACAGACCTGGCTAACCATTCACATCCACGGGTGCCAGGGAACATGCTTGCAGCATCTCCTGGACATGTTTGCAGTCAGTGATGGAGCTGTCGGGCCACCAAGCTGCCACAGGTAGCAGAGTGACCATAGCTGTCTGTTGACATGCATTTCTAGGGATCAGGCAAGTTCCTCTGGTTTCAGGATTATTTTTAATTGCCAGAGGCATGTGTGCTTGTCAGAGAGTAACAGAGAGACCGAGACAGAGAGAGAAACACCCCCCTCCCCCCCGCAGTGGGGCACGGTCACACCACAATACATTATCTTCCACTTCTCCATGTCAGGATTTGGGGCACACATATAGGTACGTGGAGTTTCTCAAGCCACCAGGGTCAGGGTTCAAACCGCAGTTGACCATGTAGAATGCAGCTCCTTAAACTACTGTGCTGGGGTCTGGCCTAGAAACATCTTTAACACTAACTGTCTTATGCTAGTTTGAAAGGGTAATTAGCCAGCCCTCATGAGCTCAGCCCAAGGCTAGAATGTTCTCAACTAGCTAAAATGGTGATTCCAGACAGGCCCACCTCCCTGCAGTCTTAAACTGAGAGCATGGGGCCAGCAGGTGGCATGGTGATTAAGATGTTAAGACACTCCCACATGGCCAACCACGGTTCTAGTCCTGGTAGTTTGCTTTCTCATTTTCTCTCTATCTCTCTCTCTCTAGTCAAATTAAAATAAATGAATGAATAAATTAAATTAAATAAACAACTATTAAAAAACATAACAAAACAAAACAAAACAAGAAACTTAGAGCACAGAGCCAGCAGGTGGTGTAGCAGTTAAGACACTGGACTCCCTCCCACATGGTCAACCAAAGTTCAAGACCTGAACCTAGTGGCTTGCTTGCTTTTTCACTTTCCTTCTCTCTCTCTTTCTCTCTCTGTTTGCCTGTCTGGGGGAATGCATGTGCGCTATAGCAAACAAAATACAAATAAATAAAATAAAATAAGCAATATTTTTTTAAAAAACTGAGAGCATGACATAGTCTCTTTGAGATTAAGAAAACTGTACACACACACACACACACACACACACACACACACCCCTATATATCTATATATATATAGGCCAGCCCTGTGGCCTAGTGATTAAACAAGCCAGATTCTACACGGTGATAGTGTGGTTTAAATCCCAGACCCAGCTTGAAAACTTGCCAGGCCCATGTGCTTGCATCTCCCAGATCTCAGAAGAATGGAGAAAGGGAGGCGACTGCAGCGCGGCTGTGCCCACTGGGGGTGCTTTCTCCCTCTCCCTCTGTCTCTTTTTCCCTGATGAGCACATGTACCCACTGACAATTTTTAAAAAAAGTTATAAAGATATTCCCTAAACATTCCTTCAAAACGTAAGTTTCTCTAATATATTCAAACTTATTTTGTTTAGAACAATTTAATTACCCTAAGGTTTTTTATTTGTTCTTTTAGGTTTTGGCCACATAATTTGCCGAGCGACAGAGAGAGGGAGATCTCCAGGGGGATGGTCACACTGCAATCCCGTCTCCTCCATTCTCCTCTAGAGACTTGGGGCACACACATACACATGCCCAGCATGTTTTTCAAGCCACTAGGTCCAGGACGTGAACTGCAGAGTTGGCCATGTGGGATCCAGTGCCTTAACCACCATTCTACCTGCTGGCCTGTATGCTAAGCTTTTCTTTTTCTTTCTTTTTTTCTTCTAAGAACTATTTAATTTAATTTAATATTATTATTTTTTAATTCTGCCAGAGAGAGACAGAGAGAGGGAAAGTGAGAAAGCAAGGTCTGGGACTTGAACCACTATCAGCCATGTAGAAGTCTAGCACCCCAAGCACCACACCACCTGCTAGCCCCATTAAGCTTTTCTAAAAAACATCTATTCTCCAAAGTGAGATACACATGGGAGAAGAGATGGTTTTTATTTAAAAAAAAAAAAATTAAGTGCAGACACTTTACAGAAACTAAGAGATACTCTAAAATGCTTTCTCTGGGGGAGACGACCAAAAACCAGACTGGCACTGGACCATTTAGTGTGAGGTGCAGACCAGGGGGTTCTCCTCCCAACCGCCTAGCTGTGCCCTTTATGCTTCACTCAGCAGTTTGCTTATCGAGAAGTTTCCTGCGCCCAGCAGGTTAACTTTGTGCTCACCTGGACGATGCCGATGGAGGAGGCATCGATGGTGGTAGTCTCTGGGAGATGGTCCAGGTCGTCAATCCTCACAGCGAGGACCTGCGAGGGGCACAGGAGCAGTGAGTGGGGATAGAGTGCCCACCCAATAGCCACTCTGCTGACCATGACAGGAATGGGGACCCAGACACACCATGGCACAGGCCATCTGCCAAAGAACCTGGAATCAACCAGCTCTTATTTCCTCAAAGACATCTTCCCTATTCCCAGCTGTCCTCTGCTCAGGACCAACCTTGCAACTTTGTTTCCAGAATAATGTAAAACTGGCATTCCCTCATTCAGCAACATTGTTTATGTGGTGACTCTGTGCCGTTGTGTCCCCAAAGCCCTCCCACTAGTTCACTGCCCAAGAGTGTGATATTTGCCCACAAACCTGTTTATGCTAGGCGTATAACCAGTTTTCATAAACTTAATGGAAAATACAAGTTATGATAAGTTGCATGAATCTCAAAACTTATTTGCACCAAAACAAATGCGTATTTTCTTTTTAACTATCCTGATTTTTATTTTTCCTATTCTACTTTTTTTTAAAAGAATGATTTAATTTTATTTTTCATTTTTATGATTTGATTTACTATAGGGCATATGTGCTCATCAGAGAGAGGCAAAGAGAGAGAAAGGGAAAGTGAGAAAGCAAGCCATCAAGTTTGGGACTTGAACCACAGTAAGCCATGTGGGAGTCTAGTATCTTAACCACCATGCCACCTGCTGGCCCCCCAATCTGCTTTTTCTTTAATGCCAGAGGCTGCATGCATGTGAGAGAGGGGAAAAGAAAACACCTCCCAATGGGGTATAGTCTCACCCCCATGCCCTTTCCTCCATTTCCTCCTTATCAGGATCCCAGGCCTGTACATACATGTGCCTCACATGGTTTTCAAGCCACCAGGGCCAGCATGCAACTCCGGTTGGTTATGTGGGATCTAGTTCCCTCCAAGTAGCACTTACCCACTGCACTATGGGGTTGGCCCCAAGTAAACTCATAGTTTAATTCATCTCCATGAACTTCTGAAGTCCCCAGGTACTTGTTACTGTGACTATGTCATTAAATTAGATCATACATAAGACCACAGAACCCAAGTGCAGAGAGAGGGCCAAAACATTGCAAAGGCATAATAAAGTGAGTTGCTAATAAAGGGAACTAGCCGTGGGGAAACTTTACAAGAGTCTGTAAGGGTTCTTCACCCAAACACCTTTGCAAGTATTCTAAATTTTTGTTCAATAAAGAAAATAAAAATGGAAAATTGCAGATTATGCATTGGACATGGTTTATTTAAGAAAGCTAGTAGAAAATGGCATCTTTGGACTTCCAGTCAAAGACAAGGTCTGGGCCCTACTTTGAAATGGCAAACAAAGGGTGATCATAATATTCACCAAAATGCTGATGGAGACTTTGAACCCAGTTAACTCTCTCCCATGGACACTGGCACAAATCTATACTACGATGCTTGTGAAGGATTCCGAGCAGATCATCCAGACTGCCGTGGATGTGTTCTCAACCACTGCTGCTACCACCGTCATCGCCACCATCACTTCACCATCACTGCCACCACCGTCATCACCACCACCGCCTCCACCATCACCAGCATCACTGTCATCACCACCACGGTCATCACCATCAGCTCCCTCCTCTACATCACCACCACCACCATTGCCTCTACCATCACCACCACCATCACCTCTACCATTACCACCACCACCACCTCCACCATCACCAGCATCACTGTCATCACCACCACGGTCATCACCATCAGCACCCTCCTCTACATCACCACCACCACCTTCACCATCGCCTCTACCATCACCATCACCACCACCACCACCACCACCTCTACCATTACCACCACCACCTTCACCATTGCCTCTACCATCACCACCACCATCACCTCTACCATTACCACCACCACCTTCACCATTGCCTCTACCATCACCACCACCATCACCTCTACCATTACCACCACCACCACCACCATTGCCTCTACCATCACCACCACCACCATCACCATCACCTCTACCATCACCACCACCACCACCTCTACCATTACCACCACCACCACCTTCACCATCGCCTCTACCATCACCATCACCACCTCCACCATCAATGACTCCATCAGTGTTCTAGTCATATAGTCTGGAAGCTGATACCACAGAACAACTGTAAAAGCATTCACTGGCTTTACTCTTCTCAGGACATATGACTAAAAGTAAAAAGTGTTTTTTTATTTTATTTTTTTGAGAGATTCTTGCTATAGGGCATGTGCACTTGCCAGAGAGACAGAGAAAAACAAAGAGACAAAGTGAGAAAATACCCCCTAGGGGGGACGGCTATGCCACAATCCCTTCTCCATTCTCCTCCTGGAATCTTGGGTATGCATGCACACACTCCCAGTCTGAGTGTGAAGTCACCGGGTCAGGGACTTGAACTGTGGTCAGCCATGTGGAAGTCCAGCGACGTAACTGTTACGCCATCTGCTGGTTCATTTTGATTTTTTAATGTAATATTTATTCAAAGAAGAGCGAAAGACCACAGTTTCAATAGTATTATGATTCTGAAAGCTCCTGACTCTCTGAAAGCAGTTTGTGCTTAGTATGTTAGTCTGATGGCAGCAAACACTCCCTGACCTAGTCAGTGGCAGTATGGGGGTCAGCCTGGCTTGGACCATTGCCACTCCACATTCTCTGAGGCAGCCCATCCTCCACTGTGCACCGGCAGGCCAAAACACCCCACCCCTCCTGTCCCCTCCCCTCACTCTGGTTTCTGGGTCTGTCTCTTTGACATCATCTCTCCTAGCTTATAATTACTTGATCTCTTTGTCTACTTCTTATTTTCCTTGTTTCTTGTTCAAACTGCCCAGGAGGTGAGGCGGACCCTGGCTGGTTATCTGTTGAATACAGTGCTCATCGTGAATAGAAAGTTAACCTGCACCAGTTTGAGTCAATATAGAATGAAACTACAGGGAAATGAGCTAAAGGAATGGTCTGCAGAGAAGAGGCTTGAAAAACGAAAACTGAAGAACAAAGTAGATGAACAGCCACTGCAGCACGCTCTCCACCTGCGCCTACTGGTCCCTCTTCTCAGTGTGTGCTGGTTGTAGCCCTGGCTAAAAGACTCTGCCTCTCAAGATGTTGGCTCGAAATCCCCCTCTATCTAGCAATGAGTATCAAACACTGTGCAAAAATTGATTTGCATGCTTCTTATTAATACATTTCACTTCATAAGCCTGCATAGTCATGGAGCTAAACTGCTCAAACATCAGCCTCACTCAGGGCCGCTGGGTGAGCAAGCAGTTCCTCCACCAGGCTGAGAATTTGACAGCTCGGTGCTTTTGCTGACACTGGAAGGCTAAGCTGGGCTCCTGCACACCTGACTTTATTTTCCCAGGTGAAAAGGTTAGCTGGACACTAGGTACAAATAAGTAGAGCTCAGCTAGGGGAATCTGAGCTCCTACTGAGTGGGGAAGAGGTCTGAGCATGTAGGTGTGAGCTCAGGGACCCAGCAAAGCTGGGGAGGTGGTTAAATCTCTGCACGGCCTCAGGGGAGCCCCACAGGCTGCAGAGAATCATGAACACAGCAAAGTTCTGGGGCAAAAGGGCACACTCAGTGATGTCTGAAGCAGAATGCGCTCTTACAAACGCTTGCTAAAGGGGTTTTAGAAAACAAAAATATGAAGCTAAGAAAGTATTTGTAACTTCAACACCAGGGGAAAAACCCTATAGAACGTTTCTTCCTTTCTTTACCCACTTCCCCCTCATTTATACCTCATTAAATGCATACATGATGAGTATGACATGTATGTATGCACACCATATTGATACATGTAAACGGGCCATTATTTTCCTTTATAGAATGAGCATGTCACAATTTTACCTGGAATCCTCTGCAAGCATGCAGTATGTGCAAACACATTGCTAAACCATCATTCACTGGATCGCACCTCTACCTGCACACTGAGGAGCTGGGATAATCATTGACAAACACCCGAGCGATACTGTTGCTGCCTTCCAGAGAAACCCCAAACTGTGAGAGAGCAGGCCCAGCTTGTGCCAACTAGAAACATGGTCTTTTTTTTTTTCTTTTTTTTTTTTAAGATTTTCGCCAGGGCCAGCAGGTGGTGTGGTGCTTAAGGCACTGGATTCCATATGGCCAATGGTGGTTCGAGTCCTGGACCTGGCAGCTTCCTTTCTCCACGTTCTCTCTCTCTGATGAGCACATGTGCCCTATAGGAAATTAAATAATAATATTAATTTTAAAAATTAAATAAATAGGGGCTGGCAGGTGGCGTGGTAGATAAGGGGCTAGAATCCCACATGGCTAACTGCAGTTCCAGTCCTGGACCTGATGGCTTGCTTTCTCACTTTCTCTCTCTCTCTCTCTGATGAGCACACATGCCCTATAGGAAATTAAATGCTAATATTAATTTAAAAAATTAAATAAATGGGGGCTGGCAGGGGGCATGGTGGTTAAGGTGCTAGACTCCCACATGGCTGATAAACAATTTTTTAATTAAATAGATAATTCTTTTAAAAAAAGGTAGATTTTTGTCATAGGATGCATGCACTTATCAGAGAGAGACGCATAAAGACAGGAGAGAGGAAAAGGCATACTGCAACCCCTTCTCCTCCATTTTCCTCTTGGGATTTTGTGCACGCATGCACGCATGCCCAGCATGATTTTCAGGCCACTGGCTCAGGACTTGAATTGCAGTCAGCCATGTGGGATCCAGTGCCTTAATCACCATGGCACTTACTGGCCCAACATAGTCATTTTGAGCCTAAAAGTCCTCCCTCTGCAAAAGGGGGGCAAAAGAGGATGGCTCCTGCTGTTAGCCTTTGCATCTGCAGTGGGTGAAGGCTATGTGTGCTTTAACCGCGTGCACCTCCTCTTTCACCAGTTCTCTCTTCATATACACAGTGTTCTTCATGCTTTGCTCATTGAGTGGCATTACCTTTTCTTTTTAAAGTTTATTTTCTTTCCTTTATGAGTAAGACAGAGGGCAAAGGGAGAGGGAGAGAGAGAGACAGGGAGAGAGCTAGAGAGGGAGAAATAGAGAGAGGGAGAGGGGGAGAGAGAGAGAGAGAGGAAGAGAAGTGAGCGCACCCCAATAGGGGCCTGCTACTATGGCCCACCCCTGGCTTTCAGCTAGCCCCGATCATGGACACATGTGTGCCCAGCCTACTCTAGGACCTCTCTGGACTTGAACTGGGAACCCTCCCGTGTGGGATTACCTCACAGAGTGCACCAGCATCTGGCCCTGAACGGTTATTACCTTTGATAATAGTCTGTTAAGGGCAGTAAGAGCTTACACGGTTTTCATGTGTCCTTGCGTCTTTCTTTGACCTCCACACCTACTCTGTCCTGAGTACGTTTAACCCTGTGAGTATTTTGTTCTCACCTTCTCTTGCTGTTTCCACACTTGAGAGAGTCGTCTTCTAGTGATCTGATAACTACTTACCTATATTTGCTTCTGGGTTTGTTTTCTAGTTTGCTTCTTTTTAAAGCCCATTTAATTATTTAACAACCCTGACCTTTTAGAACACGCTTTCAGGTGAGCTAGGCTCCATTTGCAACTGAGCAGCTTTTCCTTCTCAGTCCTCAAGGTCATTCTCTGTGTGCACACATGTGGGTGTGTGTGCTGTCTCAGTGTCATGGTCCTCAGTCTCCTGAGCACCTGCGGCCACAGGTGCATGGGGTACCACCGTGCCCCTTGATGCCCCCAACACCACGTGCAGGCTCCCTGTTTTGCACTGATGGGAAGGACGGAGGGAGGGACAGGGTAGTGCTTCCATCTTGCTCTAATTCTAGGGAGAACATGAGCCACAATCTTAGCAAAATATGGACTGAGGCTCTGCCACCCTCTTCCTCCATTCAGCGCCTCCTACATGGCAGGCGGTGCACTCAGACAGGAGCGTGAGACCAGGACCTGCTCGAGGAACTCAGGGTCCATAGAGGACGGGGTCAGTGAGCCAGTGGGGTTGAGTGTCAGAGCAGCAGACGTGGGGATGAGACTGAGGGCGGAGCGGGGGCTGGCCTGTGCTACGCAGGGCAGAGGGCTGCGGGGCCTGCAGGCTCACCTCCGGGTGCTTGCGCCGCATGTGCCTGCTCATGGAGGCCCTGGTGGACACCTTGGTCCCACACAGCTGGCAGCTCTGCGCCTCCACCTTGTCGTGGGTGAGCTGCACGTGCTTCTGCAGCATGTACTCGGTGACGTACTTCTTGTCGCACACGGAACACGTCCACTGCTTGCCCACTGCTCACACACACGCACGGGCACACATGCAGGGGGAAGACAGGCACAGGTCACCAGCAGGCTCACCCCCATGGGCCCTGAGCCCACTGGGTGAGGAGTCCATTACCCCCCACATCCTGCCAAAGCCACCCGCCAGGTCAGGCCCAGGGCAACAAGCGGTGTGGCCCCACGACAGGCGAGCGTGTGGCTTTCATCCTGCATAGAGCACTGCATCACTGTGCCGATATTTGAAAATTCAAGAATGGACACCTGAAAGTTGTAGTGGGCTGATTTTTAGAGGGCCGAGGGACCACCTTTATGCCCAAGACTATTCTGAAAAGGTCTGCAGAACAGAATAGTCACTTCCATCCCCGCCACTCAGATGGCCCCGCCTGCAGTGTGCCTGAGTGTCCCTCAGGTCGCACGGCCTACCTGTGTGGATGAGCTTGTGGGTCTCCATCGTGTTCCTCTCACTGAAGGTCTTTCCACAAAGTTCACACATGAAATCTTTAATCCCTGCAGAAAAGGCATGTTTAATTGCATGTGATTAATAAGTGCTTTAGCCAGAGGTACTTAACCCCACTCCCCCTTCAAGAGGGGGCACAGACCCCAGAACAAGGGGGGGTGGTACTTGACCAGGTCCAGGGGCAAGACCAAGGATATAATTGATTTGTTGCTTTTTGTTAAAAACACACCATTTTTTTAAATTGCCAGAGGCAGAAGGGGAAGTACCCTCAATGGGATGCAGTCATACCATAATCCCGTCTCCATTTCTCCATCAGGATTTTCGACATGCACCCACACTGGCCTGGTATTTTTTTTTTTTTTTTGAGAGGTTTTTGCTATAGGGCACGTGTGCTCACCAGACAGACAGAGAGAGACAGACAGAAAGCAGGAAATCACCCCCCAGGGGGGGTGGCCATGCCGCAATCCCTTCTCCTCCATTCTCCTCTCGGGATCTTGGGCATGCACGCACACGTGCCCGGCGTGAGTTTTAGCCACTGGGTCCGGGACTCGAACCGCAGTTGACTACGTGGGAGTCCAGCGACATAGCCATTACGCTAACTGCTGGTCCCTTCGGCCTGGTATGTTTTTTAAGCCACCAGGGATGGAACTCAAACCACAGTCATCCAGGTAGGATCTGTCTGCCTATGCAAAGGGCATGCCCACTGCACTACTGGGTCAGCCCTTAAGGAAACTTTTCATTGACCTCACACTGGTAACAGAAAATCACAAATCATAAACACACAGCTCAGCATACTTCCACAACAGGAATGGACGGTATAACTAGTTCCCAGATTACTAAGGCAAAAGAACCAGCACCCTGACAGCCCCTCACTGGTAGCTGTGAAGCGGGCACCTCGTGGTCTAACCAGGTTTAGTTAGCATCTAAAGAATCGTGAACTAGTGGGAAGGGGGAAAGAACACTATTCAGATCTGTTATTTTACAGATGAGGAAGCTGAGCCCCAGCATGGTCTGCACAGCTTAGTGGGTTAGGATTTTACAGAAAGGCATGGGCAGTCCAGAACATTCTCACCGAGGAAGTGTTGGGGAAATCAAACAGAGCCTCTTGGATGACTCTGGTCAACAGTCTGAGAGCTGGTACCCCAGCAGACCACCACATGAGGAAGGCTGAGAGCCACACTTTAGGGAGAAGTGAATGGTCCCAGAAAGATGCCCAAGGGGAAAGGTAAACTGTGGACCACAGCCAGGGGAACAGCCACAAGGGGAGGGCGAGCCCACACAAACAGACTAGGAGATAGAAAGACAGTATCTTCCCCAAGGTCACAGAGCCTACATGACGCCAGGTACCCCTCCCAGGCCATCGGGCAGTGGCCAATGCCCGTGGCAGAGGAGACTGACACCAGCCCTTGGGCAACAAGTGCCCTGTGCTCACCCCATCCCTGACACTGTGCCCTGACAGCTGCCCTGTCAGGCTTCAACCGGTAAGCAAGAGCATTCCTTATATTGACAGGGAAGAGCCCTATGGAATGCCTTTTATTTATTTATTTTTGCAGAGGTTTTTGCTATAGGGTGCGTGTGCTCACCAGAGAGACAGAAAGCGAGAAATCACCCCCCGGGGGGGGATGGCCACTCTGCAATCCCTTCTCCTCCATTCTCTTCTCCGGATCTTGGGCGTGTACACACATGCGCCCAGCATGAGTTTAAGTCGCCGGGTCTGGGACTTGAACCACGGTTGACTACATGAGAGTCCAGCAACATAGCCATTACACAAACTGCTGGTCCCGAGAGGATTTCTGACGACTCATCGCTCTTTCCTCAGATGCACCGTGAGTTCACCACTGCCCTGTGCCCTGCCGTCCTGCAGTCCTTCCTCACAGGGGGTACAATGAACAGCCTGCCCGCACATTCCCAGGCTCCAGCTCATCACTTCCTGTGCACACGTTCCTGCTGGGAACATGGCCGAGTGCTAGCAGAGGACGTTTGCAAACAAACAGGTGTTGCAAAATGCCCCAGCAGGACCTGCACATGGTGCACGTGCAGGGGGTGCCTTCCAAGGACCACAGTCACGCACCCCAGCCCAGAGGCTCCTCAGCAAGCCTGGGGCTCATGGGAGGAAGAGAAGGGAGGCTCCTGTCATGTGCCTTGTCTCACTGCCTTTCACGGCTCATGAGGGACTCCGGCTGCACGGTGCTCACTCACCTGTGTGCCGCTTGTAGTGCTTGAGCATGTTGACCTTCTGCGCGAACTTGCGGTGGCACTCCTTGCACTCGTACTCCTTGATGCCCTTGTGCAGCTTCATGTGGTGGCGGAGCGCGTGCTTGGTCTTCATGCCTTCCAGGACAAGAGCAGATCACACTGGGCTGGCCCCAGGGTGCCCGTGCCCAGGACTCTGGGGCAGACCTAGGGGCAGGCCTCAGGGGCTTGTCCCAAGATCCCGCTCCATCTGTAGTAGGACCTGCCTGGGAAGTCACTGCCCCTGGAGGCCACTACAGAGTCACTGTGGCCTCTGTACTGCCCAACACCCAATGCCTGTGAGCAACAGCAGGGCTGTTGGTGGCCTTCCTATCCTCACTGTGGCCCACTCGGAGAAGCTGCTAAGACCCAGGCAAGTTTGACTAGGTTTCCTTTGGCGCTGATGACGTTAACTGAGAATAGGACACTCTATGGCTTAAATAGTGGCTTTCTACTTTAATGTCACCCAGTTTTAAGGAGTTGAAATACCTCACAACCTTACTCACTCAGGCCAGAGAGAGGGAAGACCCTGGAAGAGGGTTTGAAGCAGAGGCCCAGGATTCCCCTGGGTGAGCACGCAGTGCCGGGAGACCCAGCCTGAGCTGCAGGAGGCAAGGGCCATGGGTGCTCTGGGCCAGGCGTAGCACCTTGGCACACCCACCCGGTGGTTCCCATGTACCATCTGGTCCCATTGACCACAAGTGGACCCAGCCAAGAGGCAGCAGATGGGCCGATGCTAGGTCATCACCTCCTCACATTATGAATTTGCAGCTGTCCTCCCCTGGGCAGCAGGGCAGATTCTGCACTCAGACCTTTGCTGCCGCCTTCAGAACTTGGAGAGCTGCTGAGCCTGAAAACAGTTCTGTCTCAGGCTGTAAACAGCTCCCTTCTATTCCATTTGCTCACTAGGTTACCCAGGAAACCTTCTATCTCAGTCCATGACAGGGTGAACTTCAACCGGCTCCTGCCATAGCACAAGGGGGTGAACTTCATCCAGCTCCTGCCAGACTTGGGAAGCCAGAGCCCCACGACCTTGCTGGCTACAGAACTGTGCCACATGAGGCCAGTAGGGGGAGCAAGAGTCCCTGCAATGGAGCCCCAGTGTGCATCCCTAGTCTGGTAATGGGCTCCTATGCTGTGTGTGGGAGGGTGTGAGCAGACCTGTTTCCAACTATGGAAGAGCAGTTTCACCTTAAAATATTATTTTTAATTCTTGATTAAAAAAAACGCCAAACGCTCTCTGTAAGAAAAACTACAGGTGGTGAGAGGCTGGATCAGAGGCTGGCAATCCAGCAACCTGCCCTTTTACGGGGCTTGCCTGGGCGCACACGGGGCCTTTCTGGACCCCTCTCTAGCCAAACCTCTCATGCAGTGTCACATCTCCCAGGAGCTCCTCTATCCAGCCTGTGAATTAATTTGGTGCATTAATTTCCTAACACATGGCTGATTCCATTCGGTGGTTAATATGCTGAGGATTCTACCCTCCTATGGGACCATCTGGTGATTCCAACAACCATGCTGCACTTCAACAATTATGTGACATGCCACTTTCCTACTTGTGAAATGGTTTATTGTGCCTTCAAATGTATCTATCTTTCTGTCTTTTGGACTATTTATTTTTCTTCCTGAGTCCTGATTTAAGCATTTGCTGAGTGCTTTTCCTTCTACGTCAGTGACAAAGTCAGGGCATCTCAGGGTGCCCTCTGAGAAGCCAGTGCTCACGGCCTCCCCGGCAAAGAGCAGGTGTGCGCGCCTGGCCCCCACGCAACCAGGCAGCCTCACCCACCCTCTTTCCCCCGGCGCAGTGCCTACCTTTGCCGCACTCGGCACACAGGTACTCGCGGATGTTGTCGTGCACGCGCATGTGCTCTTTGAGCATGTCCTTCCTGGCGAAGGACTTGCCGCACTGCTCACAGGAGTGACTCTTCACACCTGCAAACATACACCCCCACAGCTCATAGCCAGGAACTTGAATCTGGTAATCGCACAAAGGCAGCGCCACGGGCCCTGAACAGCGATGGAACATAGGATTCTTGGGGGGTGGGGGCGGGGCTCTTTGGCAAGAGCAGGCCGCTGAGGTCTGGAAGAGGGAGGGGCAGGGAGGGCCATGCTGAGTGGTGGGGGTGGGGCTGGGAGCAGCTGGAGAACCTGCAGAAGGCACTGGGGGAGTCACAGCTATATGCACAGAGCCTCTGCCACCCCGGCCTGGCAGCCCAAGGGTCCCCACTTACCTGTGTGGATGAGTTTGTGGCGCTCCAAGTTTCCAATGCTGTTGAATATGCGCCCACAGATCTCGCAGGGGTGGATGTACCTGGAAGAAGAGGCCTTCAGGGGCTCTGCACAACAGGGCACCTGCCCAGGCACCTCTACCAGCACAGGTGAGCACAAGGGCCACGTGAGTGATAAACAAGGCAGATATTTTAGCCGGACATGGCTGAACTGTGAACCCCAAGGCAGATATTTTAGCCGGACATGGCTGAACTGTGAACCCCAAATGCATGTGCAGAAGTGCAGATCCCCAGGACCCCAGCAGAGGCTGTATTTGGAACTAGGACCTTCAAAGAGGTGATTAAATTGACATGAGGTCACTAGGGTGAGCGGTAACCCAGTGGCTGGTGTCCTTGTAAGAGAAAATGAGGACACAGGTACACGCACAAAGACGGCCATGTGAGGGCACAGGGAGGAGACACCACCCACATGCCAAAGAGAGCCCACAGGCCCTGCCAAGGCTTGCCCTCAGATGTCCAGCCGCCAGGATGTGAGAGAATCAATGGTATGGTTTGAGTCACCACTCGAGGTCTGTGGACATTTTTCAACAGCTGCCCTATGGCCATTCTCTGGCTAGGACAGTTCATTTGCTCATTCACCAACCACAGGACACTGACTATGGGCTCTGTGTGGGACAAAGGATTGGCCTGGCCCTGGTCAAACCTAACTACCATGGGAAAGGGCTCTGCTCTCCTGGAGGCAGCCAAGAATCAAGCTATTGCTGTGCCATAGCCCACTCAGGCCACAGGTCTGTCATGGGAGGTGAGAGCACAGAGCACAGAGCCGAGGCCCAGGAGATGACAGGTGCTGCCAGGACGCCAGCTGTGGGACCAGGGACATAACTGGCCCACGCTGCCTGTGGTTCATTCAAGCTGTCTCCTTGCAAGGAAACGCCCCTCCCTCGGGCAGGACTCGGGCCACCGCTCCCAGGGCCTCACTTCTGCACGTTGGGGTCCGGCAGGTTCTCGCGGTGGATGACCATGTGGGCGTGGTAGGTGGCCTTGAGTGCGAAGCGCCGGTTACAGATGCTGCAGCCATAGCCCTTCTCCTTGTGCACCTCCATGATGTGCTTTAGGTACTCCTTGCCCCGGCCGAAGGTGAGCTGTGGGGCCACGAGACAGACAGGCAGCACTGACACCCTGCACCGCCTGGCCCCTTGGCTGGTTAGGTAGTTTCCCTACCAAGGCCCTGACAGGCACCGTGAGAGCCCAGGATTCATGACAGAGAGGAGCGGACACTAAGGGCTCAGTAGGGACCATGGCTGTTCCCAAAGCTCCTCCTCCCTTTTTTAAAAATATTTTTGCCATAAACACGTGAGAGAGACAGAGAGACAGAGACAGGGAAAGTGAAAAATCACCCCCCTGGAGGAAAGGACATGACACAGTCCCTTCACCTCCTGGGATTTTGGGCATAACATGCCTGACATGACTCTCAAGCTACCAGATCTGAGACTTGAACTACAGTCAGCCACATGGGAATCAGTGCCTTAACTTCTACTCCACCTGCTGGCCCCTACTGAAGTCCCTTACAAAGGTTCCTACAGCAAGTTGCCAAAACCTTTGGAAAAAAGCATTTTCCTTAAAAAATAAAAAAAAAATCCCTTCCATGTATAGGGTCCTTGTGAAGTGCTTCAGACCTGAGGGCAGGGAAGAAAAACTGAGAAGGGCCCCAGGCTTGGCCAGAGCAGCTGTCCATCAGGAGGCTGGCCCCACCCCAGCCAGTACTCCCACATCCATGTACAGAATGGGTCAGGAGGCTGGTTCTGAGACCTACAATTACTGTCTCTGAAAACCGAGGTGAGGGATTGCCTGCCAAGGCGCGTCAGAGGTGCAGGCACTCGCCCAGCCCAACCCCTGGTGGAGAAGGGCTCCTTCCTATGGGAACAAAGAGGGTTGGGGGACCCCATAGCCCTGCAATGACCACCTTCCTCTCCAGACAGCCCCCGGGTTTAAAGGAGGGCCAGCTGTCAAGATACCTGACACCTTTTGCAGCTATACTTGTGAGGCTCCGAGTCTGCACTCTCGTCGGAATTGTCGTCGTTTTCTTCAGAGGAGATGCCAATCTTGCCAATGAACTCTTCCCGCTGATGGTCGTCCATCAGGGCGATGTCCTGGAAAACAGTCACGAGTTCCAGTTTCCCACACGGCACGCAGAGCTTCACTGGTTACTTGTACACTGGGGCCAGTAAAAATTCACCTGAACGGAGAAGAAAATGCCTCGCGCACGCACGGGAAGTCCTCACAAGCTACACTCGTTGTGAACCCCGTGGGACAGAACAGGGCCCTGGCCCATCCAGCATGGCCCTTGGGGCTCGGCCCCTAATATCAGAGAAACTCATTCTCATGTCCTCACCAGCTTCCTCTCGTGCCCACATCCAGGGCGGACTGCAGGGCAGCGCCGGGTTTGGGCTGCCCACCTCTACCTGAGCCTATCATCTGCCGCTATCTGCCCGCCTTTCTCCTGGACCATTACTCCTCCCGCCCTTAGCCACCCCAACTCCTCAGTGCTCCCTCGAGCTCCCACTCTGTGCCTGGCTTTCCTCAGAGGAAGGGAGGCAAGCAAATGCCAACATCCTGATTCTAGTTCTTTCTCTCCAGAAATTACCTACAGTGTGGGACTTTTACTTTAAGTCCTGACGGACGTGGGACCACATGAGAAGAAACGAATAGTCATAAAAACACATTTGGAAGAGAATAAATGTGGATACAGTAACTACTACCTGAGGAGGCTGCAATTAGCTAACTGTTTATACTCCCCCAAAATACACAGTTTAAAACCTCACCCTCGAAGTGACAGTATTAGGAGGTGGGGCCTTTGGGGGGTGATTAGGTCATGAGGGTGTGGCCCTCCTGAATGGGTTTAATGCCCTTACAAATGGGCTCTGAGAGAGACCCCTTGCCCTTTCACCATGTGAGGACGTGGTGAGGTCTATCTACAAACCAGGAAGTTCTCACCAAATACTGCACCGGCAAAGCCCTGGTCTTAGACTCCCAGGCAGTGAGAGAAGGTCTGCTGTAGCTAAGCCACCCAATCTACAGTATTCTGTTATAGCAATCGAGCTGAACAGGACAGATGCTGGCCCTGAGGTCCCGCCATGTCCCATGGGAGTGTCCTGGGGAAAGGGTGGCATAGGACCGACACCTTGAAGTGGACGTGAATGTGGTCCCTGAGCACGTCCACGCGGAAGAACTTGCGCCCGCAGATCTCGCAGGTGTACTTCTTGTCACCGTGGGTCAGCAGGTGCTTGTTCATGTTGCTTCTGCAGGAGAACACCTATGGGAGAGCGGCCGGTGAGGGGCTGCACGGTCCGGGTTGAAGGGGTCGGCTGGCTCCTCCAGGTCCCCCACAACCACACATGAAAAAGCAGCACGTTTTCCCCCTAGGCTTTAGATCCTAGCAGCCCATAGTATGAGAAATAAAATACTCGCTTGGTGCTAGACTAAGCATGACATGCTGAATCGTTTAATGTGTGCTTACAGGATCGTGCAGAATTAATTACTCTAGTCTTCACCATAAATGGTAGCTCAGCTCAGTTTTCTTTCAGCTTACTTAAATATTTCACTAGGATGAAGCCTACCAAGGAGCCAGTAAACAGCAGAAACAACCACATTTTCTGAAAGCAGAAATCAGGCCTGGTGTGTGCATAATTTCAAACACATTCACATCAAGGCCCAGTTACTTGACATTTCCAGCCTAAGTTGCGGGTGTGGATACCCCCTCGCTCTTCCTACTCTCATCCACCGAGTCTCTGTGGTGAACACCAGGTTGGGGTGAGAATATTGCAGTCCTCAAGACGGACATGGCCTTCAGTGGACCAGGCTGACAGTCGAGACCTCCGGAACCCAGGGTCCCTCTATTTCTGAGTATATAAATGGTCTTTCACTGGGGCCAAGCATCCCCTGGGTGTTGCAGCTCACCCAGCTGCCCCCAGGCTCACAAAGAGAATGCAAAGATGAGTGAAAGAAGGTGACTGATTCGTGAAGACCAGGGAACTAATGTCATCGTGGGGCATCTCTTTCCAAGATCCTCAGACAACTCAGGAGCCAAGAACTTCGGGGCCACAGCCCAGGCAGGTTAGTGGGAGCTGAGTGCAAGCAGGCTGGTGAGAACTGGGCAGGTATGAGAAAGGACAGAGCGACAGGTGTCACCACCTCCTTTGTCTTTATGGGGCAGACTAGGCTGAGGACCAGGAATGGTTGGAGCACCAAAGAATCCAGTCACCAATATGCATGTGCTATCTCCCCACCTGCCTGGGCCCTGGATTCAAGAAACACTGCACAGAGTAAAAGGTGTCCGAGTGCCAGGCAGGGAGCTGGGGGTTCTGCACATGCCGTCTCCCGACAGTGCTCCCCGAGGGCCAGAAGTTGGCAGGCCGGATGACCAGGGACACTAGACACAGGTACAGGCTGTGTCCACCTCTGCCCGTGAACACTGGGCCACCTGGACTTCCGCACACACTCCTCTTCACCAGCTCTGCACCCTCCCCTCCCTGCCCCCAGCCCACTAGCCCTAAGCTTCAGCTCCAAGTTAAAAGCCCAGCGTGGGGCTCACAGGCCTCACTGCCTGGCAGGTGGCACTTGCTTTGGCTTGCTCTGTGGCCAGAAAAATATCAGAAAATCTCATATATACACACGGATTTCCATTTTCTCTTGAAAAGGTTGAAAGATCTGGTGATGCTGCTACGAGCTGGCTGACAAGGACTGTCAGGCCACCACATGTGCTGGTGCGTGGAGCTGAGCACTGGCTGCTGAGGTGCCTGACTGGGTGACTTCACTCCCAGTGCCCTCAAAAAACACGTGAGGTTGTAGCAGGCCTACCTGGAGCCACTCCCGAGGCAGTTATTCTATAGCATGGGCTTAAGAGACCACAAGGGACACAGGTTCCAGTCTCTGAGGACATGGAGGATGTTTTACTAATATCTGACTCATGGCAGTTGAGGAACCAACAAGAGAAGGCATTCCCAGTCAGAAGGGGACCATATGATGCAGCAGCCCAGTGTGGCTTTGACAGCAAAGCCAGGGCAGGGGATCTGAGCACCATGAACACCTGCACCCTACATATGGGCCCTGGAATCTTCTAGGAGAAGTGGGAGCTAAGGCCCCAGCATCTCTGCTAAGTAGTTGGGCTTCTGAATCCCAAGCCGATGCCAGGATAGTGCCCTCGGAGGCATCACCTGCGGCTCACCAGGAAGTGCCTGGCACCCAATAAACATAACTAAGGGGTCAATGGTGTTCCCACTCGGACAATGGCACCCAAGCAGGGGAGGCTGGCATTGATAGGCACAAAAAAGCCACGGACTGCCCACTTCCTCGGCACATTGTCCTGTCCTTAGCACGAGGACAATGACTCAAAGACGCTACACAGGAGAGTGTGAGCCATGGAGCAGCTAAGGTGGAAAAATCACAGCCGAAGAAAGGCTGCCAAGGAGAATTCTTTCTCACAGGGAGCCCACCTTGGGTGCCAAAGAGGTCCACACAATGACCACACCAAATGAGTGGGTGCTTCAGGTTAAGACCCTCTGTTACCCAAGAACGTTCCTTGTAGCACTCTGTGGGCAGGATTCCGAGTTCTAAGCTAAAAAAAGATATGCTTCCTTTCTCAACACCGATAGGGGGAATTTACCTTGCCACACACTGGGCATCCAGAAGGTTCCTTCTTGTAGCGGACCAGGTTCTCCCCACTGGCTTCCAAGTCTTCCCTCTTTACCCGCCGCACTCCTGAAATCCCAAGCCCCACCAAGCAGGAGAGTGAACACCACAGAGCTCACAAAGGCCAGTCAGTTCTAATGAAGCCCAGCATCCTTTCCAGCTGGCCGAGAGCACAGGGCAGCCCACAGCAGAAGGACCAGTAAGTGACTGTCGGTGATGTCACCCACACACCATCGCAGCAGCAGCCACTAAGGCTGCCCCTAAACAGGCCCTCAGGGAAGGGCAGAGGGCCGTGCAGTGCTCAGTCTTTGCAGCCGCATTCGGAAATGTAAGGACGGCGGGGCTTCAAGTCTCCAGTGTGGAAGGGCTCTCATGAACGACTATCGGAGAAGGTGTTTTTCCATAATCTAGTCTCAAGACCAAGTCATGATCTTTTCAGGTGGTTGGATAAAGCAGACTTTTTTTCATTGAAAATATACTACTGGGTCATCTGAAAGGTCATGTGCATTTTGCACAGAAAAACAAAGGAAAATACGCCATGACTTTTCCAACGATCCAATATTAGAATAGGTGTCTCTCACAAATTAAATCAGTCAAATCAGGCTCAAGGTGAAAAGGCAGCTATGAGATCATTAGTTTTATGGCACACTATTCAGAAGTGGGGTCAAAGCGAACTTTCATTTTTTAATGAATTAATTTATGTTTAATTATGCCAGAGGGCATGTGTACTTGCCCAAGATAGACAGAGAGGGAACATGAGTAAGCATCCCCCTTGTGAATGGTCATGCCATAATCCCTTCTCCATTTTTTTCCTCCTTTTCGCATTCTGGGCGCATATGCCCAAGTGCCCAGCATGTTTTTGAAGCCACAAGTTCCATGCAGTCAGCCACATGGGATCTGGCTCCCTTAGCCACCAGGCCATGGGGCCAGTTCCAAAGCAGACGTAAAAGCTCATGTGAAACAGGGACTCTGAACAGAGGGAGAAAAGCACTTCTCAGGGTCTCTTTCCACACCGCTGACCCATTCTGAGAGCACCCTGTGTAACCAGGTATAACACTCTGGCTTGTTGAGTAGGCTCTGGCAGGGCAGCAGTGACCACCGCTGCAGTATGAGCCACAGGTTAGGCTCCGCTCCCACATGGGAGAAAGAACCAGGAGTGAGCCAACCTGAGTTAGGTGTGAGTTGTAAAGAGGTCTCCCTCTCTGCACCTGGCCCTCTGTCACCCTGCACCCAGTCAGCAGCTCCTACCCCTGGGCATGGACCCTGGTGGTAAAGGCACACCAGAGGTCACTGGGGAGCAGAGGGTAAGGAGGGAGGGGTCATCACTCCCACCTCCCACCATTAGCATCCACCCAGAACATCTGTCTTGCACCTAGGGTGAAGCCTATGGCATGCATAATTTCATACACTGTTTTCCCCCCTACTTTCTGTAATACTGATAGTATCTTTCACAAGATCAAAAAACTGTTTGAAGGGACCAGCAGTTGGAGTAATGGCTATGTCGCTAGACTCCCATGTAGTCTACCATGGTTTGAGTCCCTGACCCGGTGGCTTAAACTCATGCCGGGCACGTGTGTGTGCGTGCCCAAGATCCTGAGAGGAGAATGGAGGAGAAGGAATTGCAGCGTGGCCATCCCCCCTGGGGGGTGATTTCTCGCTTTCTGTCTCTCTGTCTCTCTCTCTCTGTCTGGCGAGCGCATGCACCCTATAACAAAAACCTCTCAAGAAAAAAAAAAAAAAAAGAAAAGAAACTGTTTGAAGAAATACTCTTGATGGCATTTAATCCAACCAAGGGCCTGGATTGCTCTTTCTCCCCAGTCCATATTGAGGAGAAGTCCCAGAGCTTCTCCTGCACACGGGCCACTAACACCTCGTCTTTCATCTTTGGATCAAGCCGGGCTCCGGCAGGAGGATGATCCGATCGGCAGAGGGCACTCAGGAGTGGCAGCCCCCGTGCTGCAGAGCAGGGCGCTCACCTTCCAGGTGCCTCCGCTGGTGGTCCAGCATGACGTCCTTGCGGTAGAACATCTTGTTGCAGACTTCGCAAGCAAACTTCTTGTCCCCGTGCTTCTTCTTGTGCTTGGAGAGGTTGCTGTTGGTGGAGAAGAATCTGAAACACATCTCACATTGGAACGTCTTGTCATCTGTCCAGAGAGCAAACAAACACACACCGTGAGGTGAAGAGCCCCGTGGTCCAAGCTCGTGGCCCCGGCGACGGCAGTACACATAGGCAGAGAGCAGCCTCTGTAGTTGACAGCTGGCAGGACTTGGCCCAGGCTGCTGCGGGCCACCTGTCCCATGGCAACTCTGCACCAAGGGCCATCGAAGTGCTTGAGCATCTGCTCAACTTGAAAGGCAGACAGTCTTGCTTCCAAGGACACCAGCCCTCTTCCCTCCCAGGGCAGCCAGGGAAACATGCCAGCACCGAAGCTGACCTTGGGCCCTCTCCCTCTCTCTGCCCCATTGGACAGCCCCTGACCCTTGCTCAGAGGAGGTGTCCTCCCCTCCAGAAGCCTCCTGCTTGAAGCCTCAGCTGCCACCTGCTCCTGCTGCAGCCCCACAGGCACATCAGCCATCCCTTCTCAGGCTCCCTCCAACACACTGCAACACCCTTCGACAGAGCCTGCTGGTTCCCAGGTTTGCCCTCAGTAGACACATACCATGCACACACACACACACACACACACACACACACACTACATATTCAACTCCTACACATACCATGCACACACACACACGCACCACTCAACACACACTACATATTCAACTCCTACACATACCATGCACACACACACACGCACCACTCAACACACACTACATATTCAACTCCTACACATACCATACTCAACACACGATTACACTCAACACACGCACACACACACACACCACACATTCAACTCCTACACATACCATATTCAACACATGATCACACTCAATGCACACATACTACACTCAACATTCACCACACACTCAACACGTACCACTCAAATATGCCATATGCACTCAACGCATACAAGCTGAACACACACCACACTCAACACACACATCACACTCAATACCCACACCACATACTCAACACACACAGATCACATTAGTGCACACACACCACACACTCAACACATTCCACTCAAATATACTGCATGCAACACACACATACTGAACACACACCACACACTCAACATACACACCACACAGATATACATAAATATGCCACCCACATACCACACAAGCACAGATCAAACACAAACACTCTCAACATATATAAACATACTCGAAGCCCATACTCGCACTCAGCATACCATAAACACACACACCACATATGGAACATGTACCACACAAATGCATGCATACCACAAACATACACAATTACATAAACATGCTCAACATGCACACCCACAACACAAATACATCTACCTATCACACAACACACAAATACACACACATTCACATCACATACAAACACTCACACACACAACACAAAGCTTCCAGAAACACCCACATCACAGTGTTCCAACCTCATCTCCATCCCTCCTGGAAAACAGCCAATCTAGGGCTCTGCTCCTCCCAGGGTCCTGACAGCACCACACCATGCCACTTTGACCCACTGCATCAGCAAACGCTCCCTGCAGGAGGCCAGGGACTCACAATGCCCACCTGCTCTGCCTGCAGAATCAGTCCCAGGTCACCCTTTACCATGACCCCATCCACAGGGACGCCTCGCCTTGTCATGGGCCAGCCCTACACACCCGGCAGTGCTGCCCTCTCCTCCCTTACACCAGTGACGGCAGGTACAGTGACACAGGTATGGTCCCCTCTCCATTTAAAGGCCTAGACTCAGCACTGTTGGCCAAATACACAAATCCCTGAGAAACACCACAAGTGGCCATTTTCTTTCTTTCTTTCTTTTTAGAGATTTTTGCTATAGGGTGCATGCGATCGCTGGAGAGACAGAGAGGCAGCAAGAAATCACCCCCCAGGGGGGTGGCCAGACCACGATACCTTCTCCTCCCATCTCTTCTCAGGATTTTGGGCATGCACACACATGCACCTGGCATGAGTTTCAAGCCACCGGGTCCAGGACTGGAATTTTGGTTGGCCATTTGGAAGTCCAGCACCTTAACCACTATGCCACCTGCTGGCCCCATGAGTGGTCATTTCCTACAATGAGTTTCCTCTTTGCTACACAATGGAGTCACAGTAGAGTGTCTAAATGCCCAGGCCCTGGTGACATCTGGGCCACCCTGTGCACTGCTGGGAGCGCTAAGCAGCCTTCCTGGGTTCCACCCACTAGATGGCAGCTCTGACAGGCAACTGTCTCCAGGCACTGCCCATGTGCTCGGGGACAGCAGAGACCTACTGGCCAGCACCAGCGAGATGAGACCACCCAGGCTGGGCCTCCGGCCTTGCCACACCTTTAGCTCCTCTTGGTGTGCCCAACATGCAGCCCAGCTAGAGAGATGGAACTAGCTGAGGTCTGCCTGAGGGGGCCTGACCCTGAGCTCACCCAACCCGGGAACCAGACAAAGAAGGGCCAACTGCATGGCCCAAGGCCACTCCCAGGGTCCTGGAGCGAGGGGAGGGGGCAGTGGGGACACCCTGGGCAGGGCAGTGGAGGTGGGCCCTCTGCAAGGCAGGAGTGGGCTGGAGGCCTGCTCAGTGCACCCTGCCCTCCAGTGTGCGCAATGCTACACCGCCTGCCCGCGCCAGCATGTTCTTGCTCGCCTTTCTAACTGTGGCACTGTTCACACGACTCCTCCACCCTCACAAAGTCCTTTTGGTTTCACTGATCACAATTCACTTCATTAACTTTGATACTGTAGATAATTTAGCAATGCAATCTTTGTAATGTGGGTTTTCTTCTGTCAAGTTTCCTTAGCACGGATTCTTAAGAACAAGGACATTATAGACAAGGCCTGGCTTTGGGAAGGGCCACAGTTTTATAATGCTGGGCCTACTAGAAAGCACAGGGAGCCTCCCCCCAATCAACCCAGTGGAAGCAGCAGCACGACCCTGGACAAAAGTATTCTCTCTCCTTAGCTCCATTCGGCAGGTGGAGGGAGAAGACACTTGACTGCTCCCTGCAGTTGAGAGGTGCCCTCTGCTGAGCGACAGCAATGCTGTCTTAGACCCCCTGGTCTTCCTGAGGGGGCTTCCCCTGCACCCTAGAGGCTTCTCCATGTCAGCAGCTCAGGGACCCTGACAGACACCTGGTCCAACAGCAGCCTTTTTTCCACATCACCTGCTGTGTGGAGGCTGAAACTTAAATCTTCACAGACACAGCAACTGGGAACAAATGCCCACTGGGACCTGACAGGGGCAGGGGCAGGGGCAGGGGCAGGGGCGCCCTGAGATAGTAGAGGATCTTCCAGGGGAACTTGTCATGTGTGCTCTACCAGAGGGCCTGGCCTGAAGCCTTGCTATGCCCTGGCACATCCTGACAGTCACGAGCACAAGGCCTGCTCCGCTGCCCCACCCATGCCTCTCAGACCAGGGGGAGCACAAACAGGGCCCGTGGACGGGTCTAGACACCATCAGACTACACACACTTTACAGCCCTCCATCACATGCAGATTCACAGCTCAGTGGTCTAACCTAGACAGACATTCTCCCAACTTCAGCACCACCAAAAATGTAACGGCGAGCAAGGAATACTTGCAGGCTCTTCAAAAAGGTCATAGAAAATGTATTATAAAACACTTCGCATGGATTTCAAAATTCTGCACCAAAATAAACTTGTCCTTTAATTTCATTTTTCAATTAACTTTTTGAAGTCCCGCTCATATTATGCAAATAAGCTTGGTTTTTAGGCTAATCCTTCATTTCTGTCTAGAGCTTCCAAGTTTTGAAATCAGAGCATCTCAGGGGAAGAGGGACTGTGTGCAGCCCCATCCCCGTAATTGACGATACAGCTGCCAGGCCTCTGGGGCTACAGCTGACACATGGCCACTGCTGCTTGGCTTCTGCTATTTCCTATCTCATCCCAGTACAGAGGGATGGATAGTTAAAAATACATGAAGAAAGGGGACCAGCAGCTGGTGTAGTGACTATGTTGCTGAACTCCCATGTAGTTGACTGTGGTTCGAGTCCCGGACCTGGTGGCTTAAACTCACACTAAACATGTGTGCATGCATGCCCAAGATTCAAAGAGGAGAATGGAGGAGAAGGGATTGCAGCGTGGCCATCTCCCTGGGGGGTGATTTCTTGCTTTCTATCTCTCCGTCTCTCTGGCGAGCGCATGTGTCCTATAACAATAACAACAACAAAAACCTCTCCAAAAAAATACATGAAGAAGACAACTTTTCTTCAATCAAAGCTCCCTTACTGAGCACCGAGACTCTGCATCCTTCTCAGGGATCTGACGTCCTCACTTGCTGCTCCTGCAGAACTGAGGGGGGCAAGTGATGCCCCCAAACTGGTTAACAAGTGAAACTGAGGTGCTGACTGTCTCACCAATACCACATGACATGCAAATGGCTGAGCAGATGTCCCAGCTTTCTTGGGGACATCTGGGATGGGAGGGCTTTGAATACAGACAGTGCAACCCACTGAAAGTTCAGCTAGAAGCTTCCAGAGGCCACTTCAGGCCACAGAAATGGGTCCCTCAGAGCAGCCACAGCTCAGGTAAACATGACTCACACCTGCCAGCTCTGAATAGCCCATGCAGGAAGTAGGTACCATGGACAGGAGAGGCAATGCCAATAGAAGCGCTCCACGCAGAACCAACTAATCAAGCAGCCAAGGGAGCTGCACAGGTAGGGTGGCAGCAGCCCAGGCAGGCAGCAGCGGGTGTAGCTGATGCTGTAACAGTTTTCTAGAGACATGTGGCAGCCAGTCAGCACCTTGACGAGCACAAAACAGAGACACAAGTGACAGACAGTGCACAGCAAGGGCTAACCTGATAGATCTCTAAGCCGACTGCCATGGGTACCCCCCTCTCCCAGGTTTGCTATGGGTCCTAGAGAGAATACAGAGGCAGTGGTAACCCGCTTCTTCATGTGCCCTCTGGGGATCGTCCATTCTGTGGGCCTCATTTTGCAGCCACTGCTGGAATCAGGGAGGCTTCCCCACACCAGAATATAGGGGCATCCCTGGGCCACACTGAGAACTTCAGGTGGCAGGACAGGGGTGCTCCCTACAGATCACAGCCTCCTTGCTAGACAGACATGTCTCTACAGCAGGCAGGGTGAGATTCTCTTATCCAGAATGCTTGGGACCAAAACAATTTTGGATTTTGGATTACTTCAGATTTTGGAATATCTGCTACCTTAGACACAGAGCCTGATGGTAATCTTATATAATATTTCTGCATTACAGCACGTGTCTGTGACACAGTGTGTGTGACCAGGTGTGGAATTTTCTACTTAGGACATCATGTTGATGCATAAAATGTTTTGGATTTTAGAGTATTTAAAATGTTGAATTTTTAGGTTAGGGATGCTCATCCTGCACATACTCACCAGCGGGGACCTAGGCTTAAGACACCCCCCAGGTCCAAAGAGGCCTCCTCTCCCCCATGGACTGGTGAGAGCACAATAGCTTCCTGCCTCACACGAGGGAGCTGAGTTTCCACTTGACGTTTGGAGCCGGGTGGACAGAATCACACCGGAGCAGAGGCGTGACTGCCTGCAGCAAGAACACCTGCTGTGGGTGCTGGCGGGACTGATGAGTCAGGGCAGTGTGTGGTCAGAGAGAACCTTCCCGAACCTCCAGCTGTGAATCCTGCCTGCACATGTGTTTCTCGGCTGGTCCTAGGGCAAACCATGAACATCTGCTCACCCTTTCCAGCGAGCACAACTCTGGTTTTTTGGTGGGCCCCGTAGGGGCCACCCATAGCTCTGGCTGAGCTACAGGAAGAAAAAAATCTTTTTGACACAGGAAGCTTCTATCTGTATTGTTGGAATAAGCAACTGCTTTGAAGGAAAACGGAGAGGGCAAGGCCACAAGTGAGGTTGTATGTTCACTGACATGACCCCGACTCCTCTACAGGCCCCAGTCTCCATCCACACGCTGCGTGGCCATGTGGCAAGTGGCAGGGAGGGTCACGGGGGTGTCCGCCTCACCTGTCCTGCAGTTGTGGAACTCCAGCGCACTCTCGATGCGGAAGGTCTTCTCACAAGTGCCGCAGCGATATCTGTACTCGCTGTCGACCTGGTCGAAGGGACACGTGGTTAGCAAAGCCAGCTGGGGCAGAGAAAAGCAGAGGAGGCGCTCCTGTGGCCTGCTGTCCTTGCAACTTCTCAAGCCATCTAGTTTATAACTTTTTCTCTAATATTCTGTTACTATTCTACCAAGGAACACACAGGATTTTTCACTCTTGCTATCCATTGGCTCTACAAGAGAATCTCGCTCTCCAAAGGCCAATCACTCCCCACGATCTTCTTCCCGTATCTACTCAGGTCTGGGTGGGTTGGCGAGCAACGTCTGGAGGACACCCTGAGAGCACAGCCCTCTCCCCACTCGCTCTCCTCCCTCTTCTCTCTGCAACATGATTATTCAGTCAACTGTCTGTCCTACGCAACCAGGAAGCATCCCCTGGGGTCGTTTCCACCCACCTCGTTCCTGCTGTGCTTGTAAGAAACATGTTGCTTTAGACTCTCCTTGCGGCTGAACAACTTTGCACATTCCTCACATTTAAACAGCTTGTCACCTACGGAACCAACCAACAGAAAGCTGATTCATGATTTTGAGCATTGACTAGACAAAGTGCGCCCACCTTGGAGATGCTGGGGACTCTGGCGAGGTCTACAGGGCCCTCTCACTCCATCTACGTTGGATGGGACAAATGCTGGAGGAAAAGCCACCACGGGCAGTGCAGGAGCCTCCTGTGGCTCCCTGGGCCGCGGACACTCACCGTGCGAGCGCACGTGCCTGCTCAGGTTGCTGCTGTTCTGGAAGACCTTGCTGCAGACACTGCACTGGTACACCCGCTTGTGCTCCCCCAGCTGCTTGATGAGCTTGCGTCGGACGCCGTGTCTGCTCGACAGGACTAAGCTCCTCTTGAGGGTGATGGTGTGGTTCTGGTGATGGGTGAACCTGCCTCGAGCAACAGACAGTAGTGAGACAGGTGGGAAACAGGGCATCGGGGAAATAAGTTCAAGGTCACAATCAGCTTTGAAACATCCTAGCTAGGACTGAGCCTTGAGGCCAGAGAGGAGGGAATGTGCTTCGGCTCATCTGGAGGAGACACCTGGCACTCAGAACGGTGCCCGTTCACCTGTTTCTGTAACAGTCATGCATTCGTGTTCTTATCTCTGGCCCCCAGACATGAAAAGAAACATGATTCCCCTGACAATTTAAAAAATAAAAGGCAAATACTGTACAATTCTACTTAAATGAGGTCCTATTAGTGGTCAAATTCACAGAGACAAAGTGGACTGTGGGGTGCCAGGGGCTGGGAGAGGGAGAAAGTTAAATGTTTAATGGGGTCAGAGATTGTTTGGGGGAAATTTGGAAGTAAATTTGTACCTCAACAACCACCACCTGTGTTTTATATTCTCCCTTGGTATTAACCGTTTTATGTTTTCTTTAATTTCTCTGTTTTGCCAGAGGGCACATGTACTCGCTGTAGAGAGGCAGAGGGGGAACAAGAGAGAGAGAAAGCACCTCCCACCAGTGGGGCATGGTCAGGCCATAATCCTTTCTCCTCCCTCTCTCTATCCTGTCAGGATTTGGGACATGTACTTACACATGTGCCAGGTTTGTTTTTTAAGCTGCTGGGGCCAGGATTCAAAATGCATGGTTAGCCATGTGGGATCTGACTCTCTCAATCGCTAGGCCATGAGGCTGGACCTGAACTGAACCTGATTTTCACACTTCTTCTCTCTATTAAATGTGCACAGCCATAAAGAACAGCAAGACTCTGTCATCTGATACAAAGTGGACCAATATAGACACATTAATGCTAAGTGAAAGAAGCCAGCCTAGGACGGACAGACACTGCATGTCCTCACCCGGTATATACTGAACCTCTGCACTCCAGGGCCGAGATGGAAACATTCAAAGGCATGGTTGGAGAGAGAGCAAGTGTAGGTACCAGAAATTCAAAATGATGTACATGATAATGTCCTCGATTTGATTATCACACACCGCACACATGCTTTGAAAAACCACATTATATGCTGTAAATACGCACAAAAATGAAATGTAAATAGAGGGCCAGCAGGTGGCGTGGTGGTTAAAGCAGCTGGGTTCCAATATGGCTGACTGTTCAGTTAGAGTCCTAGACCAGTGGCTTGAAAAACATGCCAGGATCATGTGCCTGTGAGCCCAAAATCCTGAAAGGAGAAATGGAGGTGACGAGACCAGGGCATTACCATGTCCCATGGAGGGGTGCTTTCTCACTTTCCTTGTCTCTCTCCAGTGAGTGCACGTGGCCTCTAGCACATTAAATAAATAAATAAATGAATAAGAAATGATTAAGTAAATAAATAAACATAAAAATAAAGGTATGGGGCCAACAGGTGGCGTGGTGATCAAGGTGATGGACGCCCACATGGCCGACTAAGGTTTGAGTCTCAGATCTGGTGGCTTAAAATCCATACTGGCTGTGTGTGAATGCATGTGCAAAATCCCAGGAGGAGGGGAATGGATGAGAAGGCACTGGAGCACAGCTAGTCCCCCTGAGGGGTGATTTCTCATTTTCTCATTGTCTCTCTGTGTTTCTGGCGAACACACGTGCCCTATGGTGAAAACCTTAAAAAAAATTAAAAATGAAAAAAAGGTGTTTGGATGACGAACAACATAAAGTACTCTAGGCAATAAGGCAGAGTGGAAAGAAACAGGAAATGCCACTCCAGACACTGCTGTGGCCTTGTTTCCAGCACCTCCTCAGGTTCACCAGCCACACTTTGACAACTACAACAGGCACTCCAAAGAGCCCCCCAAAATTTGCCAGCTTATTCAATTTTAGGCAAAAATATATCCAGAATAATAACTAACTACAAATATCTTCCTTGTTCACACAAAGAAAAGGAAAAGAACAGAGAGCAAGGTGTTATAATCTGTTGAAAAGCTCACACCAGTCTGGTTCAGAGCTGCAGTATTTACAACAGCCAAAAGGTGGCAGCAACGCAAGTGTCCATGGACTGACAAATGGGTGAGCAACAAAACATGGCAGATACATCAATGGGATGTTATGCAGCCTTAGGAAGTAAGGAAAATGCTGTGTATGACGTGGAGGGACTAAAGTCATTATGCTCCGTGAAATAACCCAGTCACAAAAGGACAAATAGTGTACGATTCCACTGACATGAGGGAGCTGGAGCAGTTGAAATTACAGAGACAGAAAATGCAATGGTGGGTGCCAAGGGCTGAAGGAGGGGGTGGGGAGTCTGTTCAATGGGGACAGAGTTTCCATTAGGGAAGATGAAGGTTCCACTGGGGAAAAGAAGGTGGGTGATGGCTGCACAGAAATGTGAATGTACTTAATGTCCCTGAACTGTGTGCTTAAGGTGGTTACGACAGGGGACCAGCAGGTGACATGGTAGTTGAGGTGCTGGACTCCCACATGGCCAAGCACAGTTCAAGTCCCGGACCTGACAGCTTGCTTTCTCTCTCTCTTCTCTCTCTGGCAAGCATATGTGCCCTATATAGCAAATTTTTAAAAAAATGGTAAATAAAATTTTTTTAAGATACATTTTTTGCTATAGGGTGTATGCACTTGCAGGAGAGACAGAAAGCAAGAAATCACCCCCTGGGGGTAGCCACACCCCAAACCCTTCTCCTCCACTCTCCTCCCAGGACTTTGGGCATGCACAGACACACACCCAGTGTGAGTTTTAAGCCGCCAGTTCCGAGAATCAAACCACAGTTGACTACACGGGAGTTCAGCAACGTAACCATTATACCATCTGCTAGTCCCAATAGATAAAATTTTGAAAAAATGTTTAAGAAGTGGTTAAGATGGTAAATTTCATGTTATGTATATCTTACCATACACACACACACACTTTTTTTTAAAGCAGTGGTTTTCACAGTGAGTGCACTATTAACTCCTGAGCTCCAGAACATTTTGGAGGCCACCTAAGTGTATCTGTGGCTACAAGGAGTAAGCCTGTCCCCTCTCACCAGGCTTTCCCGCTGGGGAGGGCCCTTCCCCCAGATTGGGCCCGGGCTCAGGCAGGACTCACTTTGGCACTGAGCTGGCATCACTGGTAGAGGTGGCCAGCTTCCCCAAAACCAGCTCCATTATCCGCTCATCTGGCGTCGCACCCACAGGCTCGTCCGGGGGGACCTCGGTGATGATCTCTGCCACTTGCTCTGTTTGGACAAGGCAAGTCATCAATAGGGCAGGGGACAGAATTGAGCTCTCACAAAGGGATCCTGGGATACCTCCGGACAGTCCCCCCAAAAGTGCCCAGTGTCAGGGGACTACAACCAGGCCAAAGTAGTAGGTACGATTGTTAAAATTTGCATAGTACAAAAGAGGAAAACTAGCAGTATATGAGACTCCATGTAGTTACCCACATATCTGGAAAAGCAAAGTGTTTTCCTTAACCCAAACCAAAAGATAATTTCTTTCATAAGACTGCAGCATCCTGGCACAGTTCCAACCCTTCTTTACACCAGTCGGCAGCGTCTCGGATACACAGCAGAGTCCTACAGTTTCTTTGTTCACGCAGACACATTTAGAGATCCTAATTCTCATAATTAGATATGCCATCTGATTTCAAAAAGCAGGTTCAAAAAGCAGACAACCATTCTGTACAAGGGTCAAATATGAAACAATCCTGGTAACAGAAACCCAGGCCAGGAACCTGGGACAAAAGAACTAGGAGAAGACACACTGGTTTCTGCCACTGCACCTTCATAATGTCTCCTGAACACGGTAATAACTAGAGGAATAATCAGCTGACAAGCTTTTGGACCCCTTCCCATCTTTGCGGGCTTAGAGAGGCAGAGACAGTGCCCAGAGTTCGAACCACTGCTCCTTCTTCCACTTCTAAATAGCTCGCATCTGGCCGGCTGGAGCCGCGGGCAGACCACAAGGATGCTGAGATGTGTGAAAGCTGCTCTCCGAACCCTCTCTTTTAATTCTGAGCAAGACTGAGATTTCCTTCTCACTCTCACAAAGGGATCCTGGGATACCTCCGGACAGTCCCCCAAAGAGTGCCCAGTGTCAGGGATGAAGGAGGGTGGAGTGGCGGGGCAGCCGGCAGAGGACCTGATGAAGGGGGTGGAGTGGCCGGGCAGCCGCCCGAGGACCTCAGAAACGAGAGCCCCTCAGCACTGCACACCCTAGAGTGGACCACACAGTCCTTGAAACACACTAAGGATGCTGTACAAGGAATGGACTCCAGCCGGGTCACAGGTTGCACGTGCGAGATGCCCACCACAGGTGACGGCAAGCGAGCTCTGGGCAGTCACATGACAGGCCGGATGCTGCTCAGCAACCAAAGAGAAGGAGCAGTTGGTCACCTTGTCTGGAATGGCCTCACCCTCCATGCCGCACGCAAGAGCCAGAGACACGGCACACTGTTCACGAGAACCTCTGGCGTGACCAGACTGACCCACACCGAAGACAGCCAGGAGAGCATGCGGGGAGACGGGCGTTCCCTCCCTGATGGAGTGCCGGCTACACAAGTGTGCTTGTCAGCAGTTGCACGTCCCAGTGTAAAAAGTATTACACTTACTTGTACTTAAAAAAAGTTTGTTTCTTTCATGAAAAACAAAGAGACAGACAGAAAGACAAGACCTTCCATGATCCGTCTCAGCCCCAGTCCTGGACCGTGGGTATGTGCCTGAAGTGCTCAGGGAGGCCTCTGGATTTGAACCAGAAACCTTCCCATGGGCAGAGGATCACATCTGACAGCTGTACCAGCATGTGGGTCATAAATTATACTTTCTTTTTTTTGGAGAGGTTTTTGCTATAGGGCACATGCACTCGCCAGAAAGACAAAGACAGAAAGCGAGAAATCACCCCCCGGGGGAGGGGGGTAGGAATAGCCACACCGCAATCCCTTCTCTCTATTCTCCATTCTCCTCTTGGGATCTTGGGCACACACACACTCACGCCCCACATGAGTTTTAAGCCACTGGATCCGGGACTTGGACCGTGGTTCACTACATGGACTCCAGCGATATAGCCATTACACCAACTGCTGGTCCCCATAAATTGTACTTTAAGAGCTGTGAGGAACACTGGAGGGCTGCGAATCCACCGCCCGCCTTGCCTGGCCATGCTGCTTTCCCGCCGGCAGAGGGCGCTGTCACAGTCTTCGCCCTTCCCTGCCCCTGGCCACATCCCCAGGCCTGCTCCTCACCTGCAGGCTCCTTCTCTTCCACGATGACTAGCGGCTGCTCCGTTTTGGATGCTTTGGGCTTCCTTCCTCTTCGAGGCTTCTTCCTTTGTTCTTTGGTGGAACCCACGCTCTCCGGCATAGCAGCGGGCTCCCCCCGGGGTGCATCTGCCTCCTTCTCAGGAGTTGCCTCTGGCTGGCTGCCTGGAGGAATACTCCTGGCTTGTTCCAAGTGGCCCAAGAGATGCTCTGCAGGGAGAGAGCCATTGCAGACGGCATAGAGAGCTTGTCAGTGCCCCACCCTACCCTCACTGTGTGTTTTTTTAATCTTTTTTAAAATTTTATTTATCAGTATTATTTTTCATTTTTGCTACAGGGCATGCACACTCATCAGAGAGAAGGAGGGAAAGTGAGAAAGGAAACTGCCAGGACTGAGACTCAAACTGTGGTCAGCCCTATGAGAGTCCAGCACCTTAATTTGGTTTGCCAATCATGTGCCTTTTGTATAGCTACCATTTTAATGTAAAATAGGTGTGGGGCCAGCAGATGGCATGGAGGTTAAGGCAGCTGGATCCCACATGGCCGAGTCTGCAATTTGAATCCCAGACCCAGTGGCTTGTAAAAACAGGTGAGTGGATGTCCCCGGGGTGCATCTGCCTCCTTCTCAGGAGTTGCCTCTGGCTGGCTGCCTGGAGGAATACTCCTGGCTTGTTCCAAGTGGCCCAAGAGATGCTCTGCAGGGAGAGAGCCATTGCAGACGGCATAGAGAGCTTGTCAGTGCCCCACCCTACCCTCACTGTGTGTTTTTTTAATCTTTTTTAAAATTTTATTTATCAGTATTATTTTTCATTTTTGCTACAGGGCATGCACACTCATCAGAGAGAAGGAGGGAAAGTGAGAAAGGAAACTGCCAGGACTGAGACTCAAACTGTGGTCAGCCCTATGAGAGTCCAGCACCTTAATTTGGTTTGCCAATCATGTGCCTTTTGTATAGCTACCATTTTAATGTAAAATAGGTGTGGGGCCAGCAGATGGCATGGAGGTTAAGGCAGCTGGATCCAACTTGGCCGAGTCTGCAATTTGAATCCCAGACCCAGTGGCTTGAAAAACCAGGTGAGTGTATGTGTATGCCAAAAATTCCAAGGGGAGAAGAGGAGAAGGGACTGCAGCATGGCAACCCACCTTGTGGGACGATTTCTCACTTTCCTTTCTCTGTCTCTCTAATGAGTGCATGCACCCTACAGGAATCTACAATTAATCATTCAAGAAATAAATGCAGGACTGGCTCACCACCAAGACAGTTTTGCAAAAAAAAAAAAAAAAAAAAAAAACAGGAATCTACAATTAATCAGTCAATCAAGAAATAAATGCAGGGCTGGCTCACCATCAAGACAGTTTCGCAAAAAAAAAAAAAAAGGTAAAATACACATATATCTACAAAGAAGTCTCTGGTAGGGCATAAAAGCATTTGCATTGGGTATCTACAAGGAAAGACTTTGGAAGGATATATCAAAATACTATTGTGTTTCTCTCCGGGTGGTGGAATTACAGGCATTTTTAATTTTTTTCCTTTAAACTGTTTATATTTTCTAACTTTCCTGCAATGACTATGTAACACACTTACTTAAAATGTATCCTCTGAAAGGAAATATTCACTCACAATAAACAAAACTTTCTTTAAACACATTGCAAAAAAGGAAAAATGTTTTGATTTATTTTCCACTGAAGAAAGCTTCAGGTACCTCCCAGGAAAAGATAATTGGAAGCAACAGAAAAACAGGCAGACAGGTGTGGGGCATAAAGTCCAAGAATAGATGGAGTCCTGCCCAACTGCAGCAGCATGGCAAGCAGTGGTGCAATGCACTGCAGTGCTGGAAGCCACATGGAAGACTGGGCTTTGATTCCTGGGCCAACCTGTACATGCTATATGTACCTATTATCCTGGCTGCATGGAGGGCTGGGGGTCATCTTGGAATGAGATCCTTTTGAGGTTGCTTTTATCTCTCTCTCAAAAAAGAAATAACTCGACTTTTAAAAAAGAAAAAGGAAAAGAATGGACAAATTCCCCAAATGGAAGGTGAATATGGCTTAGATAAGCAGATCTCAGGGAGCCAAAAAAGAGGAGGAAAGGGAAATAACCCAGAAGACAGACAGACACAGGTCCCTCCCATGGTACAGGCACTTTTGTGCAGATTTGGGCCTGATTCTGCCCACCATAAGCTCGAACCAACTCAGCGCCGGTATTAATCAATAAAAAGCTGCTCTTTCTCTGTTTACTGAGAGGCATCAGGCTGGGGGAGTCTCTCAAGGAGCCAGGTCTGGGGAGGAAGAGAAAATTAGAAAGTAAACCCAACACAATTCAACACAGCCATACAGCCAAAGGAGCTAACAAGTCTGTCTGGCTGAAAATACATGGAAAGACCAGAAAAAAAAAAAAAAGAACACCCCTCCTCTGTAATACACCGCTGAGCCTAACAGAGAGAATAAGATCCCTTGGTGCCAGACATGCAGAGGGAGCTTAAAGCCAAAGCTAAGACACGAGCTGACGCCCAGGCATCTGGGAGAGGGCCAGGGCCTTCACACACATGCATGAGTAAGTGTGAGCACACGCACAGGCCTGGATGACTTTGACTACACAGGGGTCCAGAAACTGATCTGCACACACAAAGCCAGTTCTCTGTCAGGACTCCTTTAGGGCCTGGCGGTCCAGAAAGGCAATAGGTCTTAGAGAGGGAGAGAGGAATCACATGATTCCCACAAGGAACTGAAGCCCCAAGCCAGAGCCACATGAAGGTACAGAATACAAATTTATACTCCTGAAGTTAAACACACACACACACACACACACACACACACACACACACAATCAGAACTGTGACCTGGACCTGTGAACACTTTAAGGGCCTGGCAGAAGTGGAATAAATGCACTCTCTGCCATACTTCAACAATCCACAGTCCACGGAAGGACCACCAGGGAGAGAAGGGAAGAGTGAGGAATCTGGACTAAAGAGTCCACCAAAACAACAACGAACACCAAAAAACTACTGAGCAATCAGCAACTAGGGTAGCAACAGACGCAAAGAAACAGGAAGAATGGAGCTCATAAATAATGGCACAAGCTGAAGGTGGAGGGTTAAAACTGGGAAAAATAATTTAAATTAATAAGAAGGGTTAAAAAATAAAGAAAAACGGCTAGAACATATTGAAAAATAACAAGCAGTTAAGGAAAATAACCAAGTATCACTTATATACAATGAAAAACAGACACTGATTAAAAACACAATGCAGAGATTAAACAGAAAAATAAGACACAATTGAAGAAAGAATTGATAAACTAAAATGGAGCTGCAAAGATTATTCAGAAAGTAAGACAGACAAGAAGCTAGAAAAACTGAGAAGGAGGTAGAGAGCTATGAAGTGTAACATAAAGAAAAGTTCTAATATATGTACAATAGGACCTACCGAAAGAGAGAGAGACAGAAACAGAGACAGAGACAGAGACAGACAAAGGAAAGCAGTGGGCAAGATAATGGTGGAGAATGATCTAGAATGCATGAAAGACAGACTCTTCACATTCAAAACAAATAAAAATAAATGTGATAAACTATAGAATGAAATATGATAAACTACAGAACTTCAAAGACAGAGGAAAGATTTCCAAAGCGAGCACAGGCAGATTACTTACAAAGGAACAACTAGAATGACCACAGAATTCTCAACAACAACGAAAGTTGTTAAGTGGTGTGATAATATCTTCAAAGTGCAGAAAGAGAATGAGAATAAACCAAAAATTCAGTATCCAGTAAAAATCAAGATTCCAATAAAAACACAAGATAAAGACATTTTGAGACAAACATTAACAAGACTGCCATTAGCAACCTAGAAGAAATTCTAAAAGGCAACAGGAAAATGAGTTTAGATTGAAGACGAGAAATATAAAAAAGATAACTAAGGGAAAAAAGCAAAATGCATAAAAATTAGAAGGTAATTATAAATCCAAACAGGATAAATAATGCAAATTACTAAAAACTTAAAACTGAAATATGGAAGGGAAAACCACACATCAAAGCAAAGCAAATATATCCTTCTTATCTGATGCGGCATTTTATATAGGCCCATTAAATCAAGTATGATAATTGTGTCCTCAAATTATCTGTATCTTTTTGATCTGCTTGTCTATTTCACTGATGAACTGATAATATGGATGTATTAAAATCTCCCACTATTAGTTGAATTTTTCTATTTCTCCTTGTAGATCTGAGAGTTCTTGTTTTATGTATTTTTAGACTATGTGACTAGGACATATAAATTTAGATACACTATATAATCTGAATGTGAAAAGCAGCTACCATGGTTCTTAGGGAAAAAAATACTCACCTTAAATGCTTATTATCAGAAAATAAGGGGCAAGTCCATGGCTTGGTGGATCCCACATGGCTAACTGCACAGTTCAAAGTTCCAGACCCAGTGGCTTAGAAAACAAACTGGCGTGTGTGTGTTTGTGTGTGTGTGTACATGCCCAAAATCCTGAAAGAAGGGAGAAAAGAAGGCGAAGAAATTGTGGCTCAACCATGCCCTATAGAGAGAAAATCCTCACTTTCCCTCTTTCTCTGTCTCTCTCCAGTGAGGCCATGCACCCTTCAGGAAATTTAAAAAAAACAAAGAATCAAGGATAGCTGGAGCCAGCTCCATGAAGCCAGATCCCACATAGCATGTGTGGTTCAAATCCCAGCCAGATCTGCCTAAAACATGCTAGGTCAATGCTTGAGTGCCCAGGATCCGATGGGCTATAGCACAGGAGAAAGGGAATTATGATGTGATCAGTACCGGGCAAAGTGCTTCTCTCTCTCTCTCACATGCACACACGGTCTAACATGAACAAATAAAGAAAAGTAACAAGAGAAGATAGCTAAAAATTAATGAGCTAAGCACTTAACTTAAAAGCTACAAAAGGGGGTCAGCTGGTGATATGGCAGTTAAGGCAAGTGGATCCCATATAACCGACTGTGGAGTTTGAGCCCTGGACCTGACAGTTTGAGGAATATGCTGGGTACATGTATGTTCATGCTCAAAATACCAAAAGGAAAAATGGAGAAGAAATTATGGCATGACCATCTCTCATGGCTTTCTCACTTTGCTTATCTCTCTCTCTCTCTCTCTGGTAAGTATATGCACTCTCTAGCAAGTGAAAAAAAAGTTAGAAAAGGGCTTAGCTGCAGTGGTGCAAGCTGTGGGGTGCTGCTGTGCAA